TCGGCTCGGTAAGCTCGGTCAGCTTCCCAACTCTCACATTAATTCAATGGGTAGCTTTATCAATTAATCACTAACTTCTTTCAAAACTTCTAACCTGGACATACAATGCCAACGTATCAATTACCATGAATTCCAAATTCTTCTCTTCTTTAGTTTCTTCTCTGGTCTTCTCAAAATTTATTCCAATCCAATTCTCACGAGATGCATAAAAAGGTCATTTCATTGCGGAGTAGTTAAGACTCATCGACGTTCCCAGTGAATAGGGTTAGCATACCTTTAGTTCAAGATAAGCTCAGGAATTAGCAGTTATGACGGAGCTTCCTAGCTCTAATCACTCTTAGCCATTGTAAGAAGTAAGTCACTTGAACTAATATGATCGATGGATGATGTCGGGAATTCTCTCCAGTGACCTCTTCCAGTCCGTACTCGGTCAATCCATCGTCCTGCTAGTTATTCCATTAACTCGCTTTCTCCTAACGATACAGTTCACAATCAATATTTTCGTAACGTCAATGATCAAATACATTTTTTGGCCTCTCTAAGTGATTCAATAGTGTGATGTATCTAATCAAGTACCTTGTTCATTTCATTAGGACATTGTTCATTTCATTAGTGCATTTACCGCATCTGGTTAACACTTCTCAGCCTTCAATTCTTTAATTTTCAAAACTGGATATATCATCAAAACCCTTATCCTGTCAATTGACAACGATAGAGCTTCTTGGCTCAACCTTATCCCTTTCAGTCGAAATGTTCAAAAGCATGCCCTAGTTCATACTCTTCTGGCCTTATTCACTCCAATGCGATTCCACGATATATTACATCGCTCACGCACAATCCCTGTTCGACCTTAGGGTTGTATACCTCTTATACAACTTTGACAACGATTATGACACTGCCTTAATCCTGTTACCAATATCAGCTTCTTGTCACTTTATACGCGATCCTCGCTTAACTCCGGAGCTATTCCAATTACCCCTTTGGAATTATTAGCATTCCGATTCGATACCAGCTATCCTTTTTTTTCACCGTAACATGGTAATCAAATAGGACTCTTCATTCTTCGGTTTGGAGATTCCAAGCAACCCGAGTAATGACTCTCCATGGTCGAGCTCTATTTCGATTATCGAAATACCCATGACCCAAGGGAGGTTGCCAACCAAGCCGGAAACGATAATTTACATAGCTTTCTCCTAATCTGTTCTCGCGAATAGTTGACACTGATACATCCTTCTGTGGTTTGCATTGTTCACACAACTTGTGGACTTACCCTTATCAACCGCAGATTAACTCTTCCCTGTAAACTCTGTGTTGAAAGTTCCAATGCTCCAATGTGTCAAGGTAATGTTGTACTGTGGCCTTTCGAAGTAACGAAACCGTTGTTTTATTACTATCATTGTCACCCCACAGAACCAATGATCTCCGTTACCGCACAAATAACAAGAACACTGGAGACCAACTTATCAGACGAGTATCCCCACAGGAAGGCTTTAATCACTCGTTTAATTTCCACGGATGCATCAATCTCAATCAATTGTTCGTAACAACATTTAGTAAGACTGTCGATATGACAGAACCTTCCTTTGCAACATGAACAACACAATTTATTAAACGTCTCTAGCTTCGGCACCAGTTGCCTTGGTCATCGTAAAAGTTTCCTTTCTCCAATCTTCCATACATCTGTAAGGATCATTCCTTCGATCCAACATCAAATAGCGACTTTCCACGTCATCGCTTCGTATCACCTTTTAGTGACTACTATAATTTCAACTCAACAATCTCTAAGCGATGCTATTATCTCATCGCTCCATAGTTACCAGCTTTCCGTAACCGATACAACTTTGGGACTTTTATCTCCCAATTCCGTTGTCACCCATATATTAATTCCGTTCCAGCACTAGAATACCGGAATTAACAAATAATGACTATACCACCAAACAAACCAATCTTCGGCGTAAGGATTCTAAGATCGTAACCTTTTCTAACTATTTGGTCCTTGACCTAGGCTCCTCAATAATCACCAATATTTTATAGGAGAGGAATAAAATCCTTCCCAAACATAACTAGTCGGCTCTTGATCCTGACTCAGAAATGTGGCTTAACAATAAGCAAAAAAATAAACATCAAAAATAAACAATATAAACAAAACAACACGTCGTCGTCTTGTGGGAGTGGTTAGTGGCTATTTGTTCCGATCTCAACCACTCCATAAGCAGGGTCATTTTGACACCTATAACGTGATCCTAATCGATCATAAAACCAAACACTCGTTTTCCTCAACGGTGTGAAATACGCAGGGCCACCGTGGCCCTGAGGTAACAAAATCCAGTCACGAAGGAGGCAGACAATGGTTCTCTTTTTGCCCGTTAAAATACACAAGGCCACCAAAGTTCCTCATGTGACAAGTCAAAAACAAAAGTTACAACGTTCTCGTATAACGATGTAATGTAGCAGGGCATCCACAGCACCTGGGGTGACAACCGTCACAACACAAAGATAGTTACGTCGTTCTCTTATAACGACGTAAAACAGACAGGGCTTCCAAAGCGCCTGGGGTGACAGCAGTCACAAACAAAAATAATTTCATCGTTCTCTTATAACGAAGTAAAACAGACAGGGCTTCCACAGCACCTGTGGTGACAACAGTCACAAACAAAAATAATTTCATCGTTCATTTATAACGATGTAAAGCAGTCAGGGAATTCGCGTCACCTGGCGTGGCGTTAAATCTTCAACACAATCAAGACAAACACATATGACGTCTTTTCTGACGAATTAACCAAGACAGAGTCCTGCAGGTATATGAGGTAACTGTAATCATATTCGCATTATCGCATCCGACCTAGCGAAGTAAGATAGTCATGGTCGGAAAGATACTTCATATAACACAACGGGGGTACATCCATTATGCCGTGGTGAGAAAAGGGTGAGTGACAAATTGTTCAACTCAGTTGCACTGAGATGACACGTAGCTTCGCTTCCATGACTTTCGCTAGCATAATGCAGCCAAGCTTAAGCTTGATCTCTTCGAAACCGTACCCACGTCTTCTCCAGGAACAGCATTATACACCAATGCCACTGCAACCGTGCGCCTGTCTCTGGTTTGGTATTGTTAGCTCCTGAACCCTATGACGAATTCCAGCACATCACTTTCACGACACCTTGGACATTCCGAACATGGTGGACCACTCAAGGGTTCTCCTAGTTCGCTCTTCAGGTCGTTTCATAAATAAACCTTATTATTTCTGACCATTCACAGAACGACTATTCTGGGGAGAGTATTGCTTTGTCCCGTTTAGCATGATTGTGCAACATTGATAGTTCGTAAAACTTCCATTATTCGGTCGAGTAAGCAACTAACCCCACGGTGAAACGTAGCAATAACTCCATGTCAACTTGTGATAGCACACGTCGACTTCAATAATTCACCGGAAGCTCTTCTGCCATACTCCACTTAAGATCCCGAGTTAACCAACTAGACTTCGCGGGGCACCAAGGATGAGGTGTCCTTAAACCTAGTGGTGCTACCAAATGTTACAATCAGTGTGCAAGGGCACACTAGATTCTGGAATCAAGTGGAGATTACAGGCAGTATTTTATATCCAAAGAGACTTGTCCTTCCTAAACTAAATAAAGGTCTAAACTAAAGGAATGTTGAATCCTTATATAAATAAAATGATTAAAACTAATAATGGGGTGTTGGACCCCTTCCCGGAATAAAGGACTAAAAGATAAGGGGTGGAACATAAGGTGATACCTTGATAAGGTAATACCTCGATGAGGTAATGCCGATCATGGGTTCCGTATGGTACCATACCGATGGTAACCAGGACACAACCTAACCATGATCCCATAATATAACAACAACCATAAGTTGGTCTTATGGCGCAGTGGTACCGCATCAAGTTCACTCCTTGAGGATCCAGAGTTCGAATCTCTGTGAGACCATTTTTTATGTCTTGAGACGACTTATCATTCCATTCATGTGCATGGTTGGTTAAATTATTTTTTATCGGCCAAGGTCCATTTAAATCTGACTTAATAAAATGTTTCCAATGTTTATTGTTTACACTAATAATAGACAGGCTCGAAAAGTGCTACGATTCACCATACCACTCGCGTGGTTGGTTACCCTCTTCTGAATCGGCCTAGGTCTATATAAAGCCGACCGTGAAAAATTCTCCATGTTTATAGTCTCCACTAATAAAACACCTAAATTTACAAACACCGTGAATTCAAATTTGGCTTTTTCACGGGAAACGCCGACAGGATTTTTTTTTTTTTTTTTGGGCTTGTTCCAGTTAACCTTTACTCTTTATCTCTGTTGTAATTTCAACTCTAGTTACAAAAGACATTGATAACAATAATATTCAATAATATTTATCCCCTTGTTATACTTGTTATACTTGTTTTACTTGTTAACTATTCAAATTGTATAAAGGACAAACTCAGACTATGGGGGGCATGGCCCAACCAATGGAAGTGTTCATGATAGTGCCCATGCCAAAAATGTAAAGTTGGAAGAATGGATCAAATTTGCCATTCCTGGAAAAGCAATATATTGTGACAGCGCTTACCAGCAAACACCCATCTTTGGGAAAGCTTACTCCGCACAAGTATTGAAAACAGTGTCCGCAATATCTTGAACAGCCACAAGTTGAGTGTTCTCAGGATTACGATGATCTAGCAGGACTAGACTCTGATACTGAGGGCTGCGGAGAATTTGAAGATTAGTTAAACAAATTCCCATCATTTATGTAATATAAGAGTATTCTAGACTAAATGATACGCAAGCATTAATAATTTACATGTGAAAGAAAATTGCCTTTCCATACATTTAAATATAAGCAAAGTACTTATTGTTGTTGAGCATCTTTGCCAATGACTTTTAAAATTAAATCTAACTTACTGTCCATGCTTCCCAAGTCTTTCTTTAATTCGGCTTGGGTAGAGGCTAGACCAGTCACTCTTTTATTTAAATCAATAACATTATCTCTGTCCTAATGGCGCTCCTTTTGTATACCAGTAACTAAGTTAGTTAGGAGGGAAATTTGAGGCTGGCAGAACCTCGGTGTGATCCACTCGGTGGTTTTTTCTTTAGGCGCAACCTCAGGTCTACCATTTTCATCTCTCACCTCATTATTTTCATCTATCATCGCGTCATTCTTATTTTGACCATCAATACTCCCTATCCTTGGCCGCGGAGTTCTCTGCCCTTCGGTGGCATCAGAATATGGAGACCCTTGACCTCTTTTCCTCTTAGAAGGTGTTGGAGAGAAGTGGTCTGCAATGACTTCCCTGAACCCCGCGACTTCCTTTCCATTCATCTCAATGATCTTGAAACCGCTAGAACCCTTTTTTGCTTTGTAGTTTTCGACCTTTTTGAGAGCTTCTTTGGAGAAGGCTTGTGCTTTAATTTTCTCGTAGAGCTCTCCTAATTCGGGATTAGAATAACCACCTCCACTACCGGTACGGTACTTTTCATCTTTTTGCTCCTGCTCCACAAAATTGCAACATTTAAAAAAATTGGATTTCAAGCTCTCCGTGGTGCTATGGTGTATTTGTTGAGTTGGCAATCCAAAGTTATGTGGTTAGTCATTGTTCATGGAACCTTCTAGAACTCATGGAACATTCTAGAACTTATGGAACCTTCTAGAATTCCATGGAACATTCTAGAACTCATTGAGATTAATATAAATATGGGCCATGCCCCCCATAGTCTGAGTTTGTCCTTTATATACTTTAGATAGTTAACCAGTAAAACAAGTATAACAAGGGAATAAATATTATTGAATATTATTGTTATCAATGTCTTTTGTAACTAGAGTTACAAAACTACAACAGTATTGAATATTTGAATTATTAAGTAGTTTATTTGAGTATTGTGCATGGGAAGAGCAAATTGTTATGTGCGATTTCGCGTCATTTTTGTCTTTAACCGGGGACATTTTGATCACAATCTCGTCGAGACATTTCTCTTCAAAATTAACTGGTATTATGGGAACCGTGCGAGCGTGCATTTCAATACGATTGATGATTTACACAAGCTTACTAATACGGTTATGAGCAATGGGTTTATCTTGAAGAATTTTTCTCGAAGTGCACAAAAGTCAAACAAACTCCCTAATGTGTATTTTCCAAAGAGGCGAATTTTTGGGGACTTTTTCCGAACCCTGGTATGTATTAGTAGTGAAAACTATGGAATATTTTTACACGGTCGATTTAATGTAGACCTAGGCCGATATAAAAGAGGGTAACTGATCCCACGAGTGGTAGGGTGAATCTTAACAAATAGCAACCATAACTTAGGCAAGCCAGTGTTATTTTCGACTTCGCGCGATTATGGGTTGTAGTAGGGTAAGATCTATCCGGTCGGTGGTAGCGGCGGATAGAGTCTAAGAATGTCGGATTTAAAAGAATTCTGGATTAATACAAACAACAACTTGATAAAGTTAACAACGTAGTAAAATATAATAATTGAATAATGTTATGTATCTCTACTATTTTTAGAGAGATAATAAAAGTAGAATAAGTAAAATAAATAGAAAGTACGAAAATATGGGTTAGAAATAATGGCGTTATGGCTATTAACACTCTAGGGTATTGTTAGCAAAAAGTGTACAAGTACGACTAGTACAGTGTTTTCATTTTTTATTCGTACCAACCACTGGAAATGTTCATACCAGTGGCAAAAAATAATTCATACCGACCCCCGGTATTTTTCGTACCACCGCAGCGGGATTTATTCAGACCATCTAAGAAAAATAGTTCATGCTATTGCACTTCAATTATTCATACCAACAGAATATAAAATTCATATTAATTCCTTTCTTTTTTTTATGTGACTGGCTCTATAAGCCTTTTAAGCTACTCAGTTTAATCAAATTATACTCATTTTTTCCATAATTCTGTGCTACTTTCTATAAAACCGGATATCTATAATAATATTAATAGTAGCACGTGATTACGGTTTTCAAGAAATGGGAACGAATGTATGGTAGGAGCTGTTCTCCATTTAAGATGATGAATTCCCACTTTTGACATTCAATTCGGTCTTTATGTGATCACCAGATTACTTACAAAAAAAAGCATAAGATTTTACCATCAAAACTAAGTATGGACTTGAAAGCCAAGCTACTAACTGATGGGTATGTTGATGGCCTAGGTAATAGATTCTATGCTGAACCCAGTGAAATGACTTTAGAGTCTGAAATAGCACCAGTTGAAGCTTGCTTTAGTTACAGTGACTATAAGCATTTTGAAAAACCAGGTATCATGGATATCATGGAAATTGATCCTATTTTCGAAGAAGAAGAAAATGCCGAGATGGAAATTGAAATGAAAGAACGAAGATATAGAGGTTCGTACCGGTATTATAATCAAGCTGTCAAACAAAGATTTTGGCACTTGGTCATGGAAGAAGGCGTGTCAGCTTACAAGGCTGCAAAATTAGAAGATATACCTTTGCACACTGCTTACACATGGAAAAGAAATTGGGACAAAATACTTGTTAATGAATTAAATGGTATCTCGGAGCCAACAAAGAAAAGAGGTCGTAGGCCCCTTCTTACTGGTGAGCATAAGGAATTCCTTCAAAAATTGATAAAGGAAGATGCTACAGTGACTCTCGATTTTATGTTGGAGAGACTCAAGAAAGCCTTCACCAATGTAAGAGCCAGGGCTACAACAATCTATAACTTCGTCGCCAAGGTCTGTAAGCTTAGTCTCAAACGTATTTCTAAATGAGCTTTGAGAAGAAGTCTGGAGGAATTGAAGAAACAAAGACTCGAGTGGGCAGAGGAGTATAAAGACAAGCTCGACTTTGGTCAAAACTGTATTTTCATCAACGAAGCAGGTTTCAATATCAGTATGCGGCGTGAGTATGGATGGTCTGCTGTGGGTGAAAAAGCAGTTCTTACTGTTCCCGTAACCAGAGGGCTTAATATTTCGTTCATTGGGGCAATTTCTGTCAAAGGTTGTATTGAATTAAAGGTCAGAACTCCAGTGGCTACATCCAATAAGAAGAGAAAACTTGATTCAGAAACGACCATTGACAAAGTGAGTAAAGGTACTACAGCTAATCACTTCTACAGTTTTGTAAAGTCAGTGATCCAGCAAATAGAAAATAACGAGGAGCTCAAAGGTATGAAATATTTGATCCTTGATAATGCTGCCATTCATAAACGACGTGATCTTCAGTTACTAGTGGCACTGAGTGGGTTGGAACTTGTGTTTTTACCTCCTTATTCTCCAGGGTTGAATGCTATAGAAGAATTCTGGTCAGTATGTAAGAGTAAAGTCAAAAGATCAAACTTGAGCAAGAAGGAGCAATTAACTCCAAGGGTGAAAGAAGCCACAGAAAATATTTCCCTTGATAGTTACAAGGGATTCTGCAGACATGCTTCTAGACATATTGATCTCTGTTTACAACAGCAGCTCTTTTGAAAACAATTACCGAAGATGAAGAAAAAAAATTAGAAAACAAAATACAGAAAACAAACCAAAAAAAAAAAAAGTAAAAACTATAAAAAAAATTACATAAAGACACAACAAAGCTCAAAAACAAATTGATGAAAATTTAAAATTTTAAGGAAGGACGAAACCACTCCAAAATTTGGTTATGAGCCTTTGAAATGGTAAATGAGTATTGCAAAGGGGCTTTATTGGGTGTGCGGGTCCCCTATAACATGTTTAATAATATCAAAGATAAAATATTAATGAAAGCATAAGAATTTTATGCATTTAGTATGAATTTTGTATTCTGTTGGTATGAATAATTGAAGTGCAATAGTATGAACTATTTTTCTTAGATGGTCTGAATAAATCCCGCTGCGGTGGTACGAAAAATACCGGGGGTCGGTATGAATTATTTTTTGCCACTGGTATGAATATTTCCGGTGGGTGGTACGAATAAAAAATGAAAACACTGTACACCAGGAGCAGGAATTTACGTAAATTTAAAAAAAAAGGGCCGAGCAGGGAATTGAACCCTGGACCTCTCGCATGCCTGTGTACATTTGAAAACATGAGTTGTCTCATGTTCGCCACCCAAAGCGAGAATCATACCACTAGACCACGCGGCCACTATGCGAATTTTGTTATATTATGGGATCATGGTTAGGTTGAGTCCTGGTTACCATCGGTATGGTACCATACGGAACCCATGATCGGCATTACCTCATCGAGGTATCACCTTATGTCCCACCGCTTATCTCTTATCCTTGTCGTATCGCCTTATGTTTAGCCTTTTATTCCCAGAACGGGTCCAACACCCCATTATTAGTTTCAATCATTTTATTTATTTAAGGATTCAACATTCCTTTAGTTTTGACCTTGATTTAGTTTAGGAAAGACAAGTCTCTTTGGATATAAAATACTGCCTGTAATCTCCACTTGATTCCAGAATCTAGTGTGCCCTTGCACACTGATTGTAACATTTGGTAGCACCACTAGGTTTAAGGACACCTCATTCTTGGTGCCCCGCGAAGCCTAGTTGGTTAACTCGGGATCTTAAGTGGAGTATGGCAGAAGAGCTTCCGGTGAATTATTGAAGTCGACGTGTGCTATCACAAGTTGACATGGAGTGATTGCTACGTTCACCGTGGGGTTAGTTGCTTACTCGACCGAATAATGGAAGTTTTACGACCTATCAATGTTGCACAAACATGCTAAACGGGACAAAGCAATACTCTTCCGAGAATAGTCGTTCTGTGAATGGTCAGAAATAATAAGGTTTATTTATGAAACGACCTGAAGAGCGAACTAGGAGAACCCTTGAGTGGGCCATCATGTTCGGAATGTCCAAGGTGTCGTGAAAGTGATGCGCTGGAATCCGTCATAAGGTTCAGGAGCTGACAATACCAAACCAGAGACAGGCGCACGGTTGCAGTGGCATTGGTGTATAATGCTGTTCCTGGAGAAGACGGGGGTACGGTTTCGAAGAGATCAAGCTTAAGCTTGGCTGCATTATGCTAGCGAAAGTCATGGAAGCGAAGCTACGTGTCATCTCAGTGCAACTGAGTTGAACAATTTGTCACTCACCCTTTTCTCACCACGGCATAATGGATGTACCAACCGTTGTGTTATATGAAGTATCTTTCCGACCATGACTATCTTACTTCGCTAGGTCGGATGCGATAATGCGAAATGATTACAGTTACCTCATATACCTGCAGGACTCTGTCTTGGTTACTTCGTCAGAAAAGACGTCATATGTGTTTGTCTTGATTGTGTTTGTCTTGATTGTGTTTGTCTTGATTGTGTTTGTCTTGATTGTGTTTGTCTTGATTGTGTTGAGATTTAACACCACGCCAGGTGACGCGAATTCCCTGTCTGCTTTACATCGTTATAAGTGAACGATGAAATTATTTTTGTTTGTGACTGCTGTCACCCCAGGCGCTTTGGAAGCCCTGTCTGTTTTACGTCGTCATAAGAGAACGATGAAATTATTTTTGTTTGTGACTGCTGTCACCCCAGGCGCTTTGGAAGCCCTGTCTGTTTTACGTCGTCATAAGAGAACGACGTAACTATCTTTGTTTTGTGACGGTTGTCACCCCAGGTGCTGTGGATGCCCTGCTACATTACATCGTTATATGAGAACGTTGTAACTTTTGTTTTGACTTGTCACATGAGGAGCTTTGGTGGCCTTGTGTATTTTAACGGGCAAAAAGAGAACCATTATCTGCCTACTTCGTGACTGGATTTTGTTACCTCAGGTGCCACGGCGGCCCTGCATATTTCACACCGTTGACGAAAACGAGTGTTTGGTTTTATGATCGATTAGGATCACGTTATAGGTGTCAAGATGACCCTGCTTATGGAGTGGTTGAGATCGGAACAAATAGCCACTAACCACTTCCACAAGACGACGACGTGTTGTTTTGTTTATATTGTTTATTTTTGTTTTGCTTATTGTTAAGCCACATTTCTGAGTCAGGATCAAGAGCCGACTAGTTATGTTTGGGAAGGATTTTATTCCTCCCCTATAAAATATTGGTGATTATTGAGGAGCCTAGGTCAA